GACATTGCAAAATGAAGAAAAACTTGCTAGCTTACACATTTCAAGAAAAAAAACTTGCTAGCTTGCACATTTCAAAGAGAAGAAAACTTGCTAGCTTACATGATGTAAAACTTGCTAAAATTACTGGCTTGCTCATCTCAAAAGAAAAGCAAAGTTTACTAGTTTGCATATTTAAAGAAGATGCAAAAATAAGCTATCTTGCACATCTCAAAAGATACAAAAATTTTGCTAATTTTTATATGTAAAAAACTTGCTAGCTTACATGTTCAAAACTTGCTAGTTTGAACATCATGAAGAAAAGCAAATTTACAAACTTGCATAACTCAAAATTGTTGCTAGCTTGTATGTTGTAAAACTTGCATATATCAAAAACTTGCTAATCGTACTTTTCCTTTTTTACTGATGACAAAGGGAGAGAAAATACAATGATGATGTATAAGTTATGATGATAATTATGCATGGGATGATGTACTTGGATATTTTGATTATGCATGATTTTATATTGCATGCAATGATATGATTAATTGGGTCTTTCAATATTCATGATGCATACTATGGTGAAATACTTATAATTCTATGAATTTAAAAGTTATATTAATATGGCATATTGATAGGGGGAGTTTAGTTAAACTCCGTCGTTAATTGATTATCATCATCAAAAATGGAGAGATTATTGAATCTCATATTTTGATGATGAAACCAATTGATAGAGTTTATGATATAATATGTGTTTTGAGTAATGCAAGACTAGCTTCGATTATGAAGAAACAATTAAAGTATGAAGAATTAATGTTGGGCCGGAGTCGAACATGTCAGAAGATTGGACTCGAGCCGAAGGATCGGTCGACATGTCGGCATAAGGCTTTATGCCATGAGTTTGGGTATCGAGCCTAGAAGAGAGGACATTACGCTAAGGAGATCGGAGTTAAAGAGGTCAACATGCCAATTGGGCAAAAGACCGTAAAAAAGGATGATGTGCCAAAGGATTGGACGAAGTGTTGATGAACCAATGATATGTCGGACAACATGTGATTAATGCTTTGTAATAATTGTCTAGATCGAAGTAGTTTTAAGTTATAATTGAGTTATAATTAGGTCAACTCAATTAGGAGTCCATTAGGCCTAAGTTAAGGTTGAGTTAGGCTAGATGGATAGCCCACTCGGCCACTTGAAGTCATGCCAAGTGGTGGAATTGCTTGAGGTTCAGCCTCCCAAGAGGTTTGGGCGATAGTACAACCCAAACTAGGCGATGGTACTGCCTATACTAGGCGGTGGTACCATCGATAGTTAATTTTGTCAAGCAGTAGTACCGCCCTGTCACGTAGTGGTACCGCCAAAGCCTAGTCTCTGAGATTCTATCAAGCGATGGTACCACCAGACTAGATGGTGGTACTGCCCAATATCAGACTAGCAGGTGGTGGTCCCTCCTAATACTGGTGGTGGTACCCCGAAGACCCGGGATGAGACTAGTTTTGGCTCCAAGTTTAAATTCATTTAGGGCCTATAAATACCCCTCTCATCCCTACTCAGAATACACAAGAATTGAGAACAAAAATAAGGAAAAACTCTGTTGTAATCTTGTGAGAGTTCTCCTCGTCTAATCTAAGTATTGATTTATGTTTAAGAGAGTAATGAGTGGGGGTGTAAAAGTTCTCTCCTAAACTTGTCAAAAGGAGAATAGAGTTGTCAAAAGAAGTGAGTGGGGATGTAAAGGTTCTCTCTTGAGAATAGAGTTGTCAAAAGGAGACAGATCCAAGAGGATGCTTGCTTGGCTTGTCCTAATCCAGGTACATAGATACCAGTGTCAAAAGGTTTGGCATAGAAAATTCTAAGAGATGTCTCATACCGATGAGATATGGGATATCACTTTCTAGGAATATGTCCCCAAAGACTCCTGAAGAAAGAGTAAAAATTGATAAAATACCCTATGCCTCAGCGATAAGATCTATCATGTACGTTATGCTATTTACCAAGTCTAATATAGCATATGCTCTAAGTGTCATGAGCAGGTATCAAGCGGATCCAAGCTTGAAGCATTAGAAAGCAATAAAGTGTATCCTTAAGTACTTGAGAAGGACTCAAGTTTTCAGTCTGATGTCGATGATAGCAAGTCGAATTCGGGGTATGTGCATACCCTGAATGGAGGAGCAGTATGCTAAAAGAGTCCTAAGTAAGATACTATTTCTAACTCGACCACAAAGGTGAAGTACATTATTATAGTAGAGGCAGCAAAGGAGGGAGTTTGGATGAAGAAGCTCATTATAAATTTTGGGAGTCATGCAGGATAGCGAGGAGTCGATTACCTTATATTATGACAATTACGGGCTGATTGCTCAAATAAGGGAACCAGGGTCTCATCAAAATGTTTTAGGGAGGTTCCAACTTATTAGAGAGATCGTGGCTCGAGGAGATGTAGAAGTGGAAAGAGTTCCATCCGAAAATAACATCGCAGATCCACTAATAAAGTCGTTATCTCAGATTATCTTTGAGCATCATAAGGGTCTGATAGGGATCAGACATATAGGTGATTGGATTTAGGTCAAGTGGAATATTGCTAGTCATAGGTGCCCTACAAGCCAATCACGTGAGTGATGACATGTGTGACATGATACGCATTCTAATTGCTTATTATATATTAACATTTTTATCACTTTATATTGCTTGTTGCATATATGTATATATATTGTGATGTCAATGGATTTATGTAATGGGAATCGGATCGTGATCAGATCATGATAATGAAACTGATTCACCTTTAAACATAGACCCTAAATAATTCTGGTCATAGATTACTCGAGAAGGACATCGAGATAACCGGCTAGATTAGTATATTGTATACTCATCCATACGATGGAGATAGCTAGTCTGATAACTGTTTGTATGGGGACAATAAGGATACAGTATCAGATAACAAAGAATCATATATTTCAATTCTACATAAAATATACAAATTGAGGATGGATAAGCTCTTGCAGGACACTTGGGATTCTACAAACATGACGAACAAAACAAGAATTGAGTATGCGAATATTGCATTCTATATATAGAGGGAGCTTGACTACATAAAGTTATAAAGGACGAGGAACAGCACTAAGAACAGTATCGTTCCAAGACCGTAGCCTTCGTCATCACAGCTCGAGTTGCCTTCTTGCCCGCCTCCAAAGGACCACGAGAAAGAAGGGAGCGACTCACTACAGTAATGAATCATCAGCAGGACCAGGACGAGAGGGATCAACATAAGGAGGAGTTTGTTGCTGCCTCCGCCTACCTCTTCGTCTTCACCTCCTCCTCTTTCCCCCGCGCCGGAGAATGCCTCGAACACGCCCAAGCCATTGATGAAGAAGCACAAGACCACGATCGTCAGCAGAGGGATCAGCGGCGACGGGCCACCTCCCCTGTTGTTGAACCAGAGCATCGGAGCGAGCAGTCTTCTTATCCTTTGATGAAGCCAAGACAACTGAGTCACAGAGGAGCTGCTGCTACTCCCTGCTTATAGAGCTCACAAGTGGGTTATTGCTTTTAGGAATTAGGTTGATGTCGATGGAGATGGATTACCGACCACACCGTGTGTAATAAAACACCTCTCCCTGTTTTGGAATTCCGTCTCATTCCCGTACCAGCCTGATGATTGGGAAGAGTTATGGGGCGCTTCCGGAGCCCACGTCCTTTTGCCACCCGATAAAAAACGGGTGAATAGTGTCGTGGTGTGCGATGGAGACTTGGCCTACATCCCGGTGTCTACGATGTAATATAAGGACAAAACTGGCGTCTTTTTTCTATATTGTCTGTTTGCTGGTAGTTGAACTGCTGACGTATATCCTAGTGTGTTCATCATTATTATAGGTGTTTTTACTTATATATCCTTTGGACTTTGAAACCAACCTATGGCATAACTATGCCTTAATATTATCATTAACATAAGATTGCAGTATCTGATTCCACAAGAACTCATTGTAAGGCATGAATCAGCCCGTCCCTAGTTGCAACTGCTACTACAAAGTATAATGTTACTTCATAGGCCGTCCTAATAATAGAACTTTACATTATAGTAAACACACTAAAGAGCCAAAATCACATTTGGATTCAGTATGTGTGAAGCATATGGATCAAAAATCTATACCAAGTTTGGTAAGGAACTACTAACTGCAAGGCCTTCCGTTCCAAGCTTATGTGATAATGAATAGAGGAGACTGAGCAAATTGTGATGATGATGATGTTGTATTCCGATCAAGATGAAGCCCCATGCCAAACCTAGACTTGTACTGCAATTAAAAGTACATGATGGTGGCCGCTGACAACGAGATGGGAACGACACGCTGCTGCAGAGATGGATTGCCGTGAGAAGAGCTGCGGAGATGGATTGTCATGAGAAGAACGACAAGGAAGACAAGTATAAAGGGCGAGGTACGTCCCTTTCTTCCCTCTTCTGCTGCTGCTTCTGTTGTTAGCATCTTGATGATCTTGAACATGCCAGGGCCAATGATGAACAAGAACAGGATCAGGATCATGCAGAGTGGAATCCATGGTGATGGAGCACGTCTCCTCTTGTTTGACCAGTGCATTGCTTCACAATTTTTAAGCCTTCTTCCTAGTTCTCACAATCTGCTCCCTGTTTATTTCAGCTCATGAGTCCATCGCTTAACAAAGTATACTAGATGAAAAGACATGATCAAGATGGTGTATTGTCTTGACAATGTTCATATAAACAATACTAGTCTTATCTACTGCACAAAACATGATTTAAGTTGCCTGTATACTCTCCTATTGTTGAGAAAAACAATCATGAGCTAGTATTGAATTCTGCTGGTCCCTGATAACATGGGAATCAGATCATGTTTTGTGCAACAAGAATAAACTAAGGGGGCATGAATTTTTAGTATAATCAATCACATTGAGTTTATTCCACCATCATGAAACTATTAATCATGGAAATGATATATTAGGGAGGATCTCAAGTTCAAGAGGCACAAGTGCAGAAGAAAGACTATTTTTCTACCCCTGCAGCTTCCTGATATCCATCCCAACAAGTGAAACCCATTATCACAAGCATGTGCCTTAATGTATACAATAGGGCTGGTCTTTGGAATAGAAAATATATGTTTTGAAGCACATCCCTGTTGGCACCATCACACAACCATGACAAAGACTTTTATATAACTCCACCTGCAAAATGGCACCAAATCTGAAGATGATAATTTGTCGGTGAACTATGATCCTCGGTCTTCAGATGATCCCATGAAGGAGCAAGTTGATCTTCATTAAATCGATTAAAATACCAGGCTATAGAAATCCATAGTTCTTGATGGTTGCAACATATATTTTCTGCGATACAAGGAAGAAGATTTAGTATCCACCCAAAACCAAGAGAAGGTTAGGAAAAGGAAATATTGAAGCAGATGCAACCATTTTCATCATAAAAACACAATTAACATGTCCAAAATGACTATGAAAAAAAAACATTAATATCCAGCAGAAAAAGATTGAAACTCTTAAGATCACCATTATGTGAAGAAAATAAATCAGACTTTTCATTTCATGAGATGTCAGACAAGTTCCTCTGTTAGGGAAACCTCTTTAAGTTCACCATTATATGAAGAAAATAAATAAACTATTCATTTCATGAAATCTTCTGTTTACGGAGCAAAGTAGAACATCCACCAAGGTAGTAGGACCAGGAATAGTAAGTTAAACCTTCTTTTCCATTCATGTAGGTATCAGCTAGATTGTTATTCAACTGGTACATAGAGCTTGGAGGAATGAGAGAGACGAGCAAACCAGATCAAGATTATAGAAAATGTTACCTTACCTCAAATTAGTACCAAAGAGACTAAAAGAAATGAGGCACAAATTGCACTTAGGAGGTCAGGATTCAACACAAATTTCTCGGCCTTCATCAAGTGGATGTACCCTGTACAGAAAACACAAACAACTACTTATAGTAAAAATAAAGCACCTCATCATAATTCCACACCGGGCACTTGCAGTCTTGTGATTCTTTTGTGCTCCAATTTTTTTTTGTCACAAGTGGCTACACACTATAACTGCATTAGGATGGTGCATTGAAAACATACATATGATTATTTAATACAGAATCAATGCACCAAAGGGAAAGGACACCATTTGGTTCACTGTATTTCCATCAAAACATACTTTGTATTATTGGTACAACAAAAAATGACAAGTATTCATGGAGATAATGGCAGGATACATCCAAAAAATTTTACAATCTGAGGGGCACCATGATCTCATAACAAAAAGAAAAGATAAAAACTGATTGGATTAAGTTATTTGTATGTATCATACACTGGATTCCATAGGCTTTTGTTGCAGTCTTGCATCTTATTTGGAAACTACAGCAAAAACAGGAAGCAAATCAATGGTTCTGATATGAAATTAAGATGCTACGGAAACCCTAATTTCACATTCATTTATATAATTAGTCCCACCAAAATGGAACATTCTACAAGCCAAAGTTGTCATCAAAAATAGAACCGTCACATATATAAAGTAACAAACTTGTCATATAAACTGAATCATAATTTGAAACAACAATGAATTTATCTCTATTAACATGTTTTGATAGTAATTCTTACTCATCACCACTAGCTTTTTTTTTAGGATAAATAGATATTATCATAACTTCTTCCAATGGCCAAGATGGCTCGAATTTTTTGTGCTTCTAATATTGATTTTCAGTGAAGAAAGGTAGTACATTACACAATATCTGTCAAGAATGCAAAACTGAGATACTCCAAAAAAACAAAATTAAATTATCCCTACACAAACTAAACAAAAATCTGAGAAACATATGCTATAGAATTTTTTTTCTTTACATGTGAAAAAAATGCAGCTTTGTCTATTCATAATTAGGACATACAGTTTTGTTATTGTTGTTGTATCACGGTTTACTTTTGCCTATCGAATGAAGTATACCAGCCACCGTCATCTGTTATAATCTTAATTTTTCTGTCCAATGAACCTGGCATAAAGGAATTGCAATGATAAATTATACAGCACAAGGAATATAATGGTGGATGCAATTCATTTTCAGGATTTATGAAAAATCTACTCCTTGGTTAATTGACAGATCTTATTATTGAAATAAGCAATGTGCCAACTATGGTGTATGGAAGTTATACATGAGAGCAAGGTATACAGTTTCAAATAATACTGTCCGTACCGAGCGGTACATGCTGGTCCGTCAGCTGATCGGTACACGGACCGCCTATTATCGGACGGAATATATATATATATATATATATATATATAAACGAGGCAATGTCGCGTCGCCTCGATGACGTCGCCCCGCATTGTCACGG